CTGATCCTGTATCTTCTCTCCTGCCTTCGTCTTCACGCACGTCTCCGTTGCTTGGCTATGCTCGGAACAATCACTCCTGCCACTGACAACACGCAATTGTCTTCATTTTGCCACTTGCTTGCTATTTTTATTTACCATTGTTTTGGCACTGATTCCATTAAATTTACCTTAACGTATAACCCTACAACTAATCAATTTTTCCTTAATACAATTTCTAACATTGTTTTACAATGTCAAATTCATCCATAATTATTACTCGGCAAGTATTTAACGTTGTTGAGGTTTTATAAAATTAAATACAATTTTTTCGAGTATTTTGCCAAATAAATTTTAAAATTCACACCCCATTGCATTTACTGTTGCTAATTACAATTTATACAATTAATATTATTGATATTATTATTATTATTGTAATTACAATAATTATTATGTTATTGTTATTAGTATTATTACTATTATAATTCTTTATATTATCTCATTCTACGTTTGTCCTAAATTAAATTAATTTACATTTGATTGATATTTGCCCACTCCATTGTATTATTACACATAAAGACCACTTACTATTTCCATTTCTAATTTTTTTGCGACGATTAAACTAAACGCAAATCTCATCATTATTTTCCTCACAAACACTTCACTAACTATTCACTAACGCCCCCACAACATGCCTGTCATCACACTGACCACTGAACTGCACTTTATTCCTTCTGAACAATACAGTATCAAGATAGATGACAGGGACAAAATTTCGACTGCGTCCATGTGAGTAAATTGTTTCTATTCTTCTCCTGGACTCGGATTTTTACATTTGTGAATGCATGTGTTTGTTCTTGACATTTATTCGATTTACTTATGAGGCTTTATCTTGGCATGACCGACTGATCCTAGAAATAGGGAGTGAATTTAACCATAATGAATTTCTTTTCTTCAACCTGCAACCTTTTCAGTCATTGAAAATTTTTATTCCCCGACAGACTTCTACGTTAGTCCTTACAAGTTTAAAATTTTTATTCATGTTATATTCAAACTAACGTTACCTTCTGGTGTAGGTATGCAATATATCTTTCAGCATTCAAGAATGTATACTAATGAATAGGTGATAAAATTATAATTACTTTCGATTACTTTGAGGTTCGGAACCGATAACTCAGCTTTGTTCGGCTTTCTCAATGAATAATATTGATAAATTCAAAGTTATTATAAAGAACATGGGTCACTTAGCTGCTGGCCAGATTCATTTACATAATCGCATTATGTCTCTTCTTTATATGAGGCCACTTGTTGATATTTTGAGCTTAACATAGCAAATCTACATCAAATAGAACTGATGGATATTTGTCACATTAAAATGCTGAGGAAATTTTGTAATTGTGCGAACAGCATATATTTTTTCAGTATTCATTAAATATTTTTTAATAAATTACCCATCAACTGAATGAATTATATTTGTTCTAAAGACCGGAAAATAGGTTTACAGCTGGAACATTTAATTAGTCTCCTTAATTTTTTTGTGAAATTTGGAATTAGAAATTAATTTTTTACAGCGATGGAATTCAATGCTAATTCGAAAATGCAACTTTTTTCGATTCATGAATGAAGGAAATCATTTCCAAATATGAAAGAAATTAATGATTTTCCATGATCTTAATAATATTACGAACAAGTGATGCTAATTTTTTGGGGGTTCTGAGTTCTGACGCACAATTTTAATGCGATGCAGCTACGCATAACTGACTGCCTCTGGATGTTAACCGTTCATCCGTGTATTGTTTGCGAAGTTTGATAAAATCTTCAAATGAAATGTTAGACTTTGCCATTTTGGAGTTGAAGCAATGATTTTCGAGTTGTAAATACATGAAGAAATTAATTTTCTTTAAAGCCGTTTCTCGTAAAATAATGTTGCAGATATCAAAAGGAAGCTCGACAGTACTTTCATCTCAAGCATTTATATGTTGATGTAAAACTCAATGGTGCATAATAAGACCATTTGCATTCCAACTCTTAAAAAGTGAATCAAATCTTTTATTCTATGTACAAAATATTTTGCCATATTTTCAGTGACAAAGGCGAATGATTTATGATTACAGATAGCATTAGGATTATTTTATGAATGTGTTCGAGTTTGCGCGCCTTGCCGCGTTTCACAAGCATACCAATTTTAGAGCTTTCGAATTACCGTATTATGAATCATTTTTAATTTGCAAAGTAGAGAGCAGCTGGAACGGATAATTGGATAATGGGCAGTCCTTTGATTTAAATCTATATCGGAATGCGTTCATCTTTATAATGTTAATGAGATTATCTACGTAATTTGTCCTGAAAAATTATTAGTGATATCGAGGTATTTATGGAGCAAATGAATGAAGATTCGTTAATAAGTATAGCTTCTAATTCAGCATTTTGTGATATTGAAAAGCCTATAAAATTTTAGTTTGCTGACGTCTTATTCGTGTTAATTACATTGAAAATTATTTTTATGGAATGGAATATTAATAATCCTAAATTTTCAAATCAGACTAAGAAACATAGAAAATAACGAGTATAATACAATGAATTATTACGATTTTCTTTAATTTTCAGGCACAGAAGTCTAGGCTCCTTTAAATTGTCTGCTTCGAAAACGTAAGATATTAAAAAATCTCTTCACTAACTTTTTTCCTATCGATCACGAATAAACATGGAACAACAAATTCGACATAAACAAGTCACGATAATTTTTCTTAACTATTTTCTGATCGAAACTGACACCGATTGTGAATATTTGCACCAATTTTGATTAATATTAAATAGTGATGCGTGAAAAAGTAACGTGTGTTTTTCATATTTGATAAATACTTGAAGCCTCCGAGCACAAAAACGCTTCTGCATGTTTAGAAATTAAACTTTTATCGTTGCACGGAATTTAACTCCGCTTCATTACCGGCGACACTCTAAGTCATATCTCAACGAAAATTTACAGACGCGTCAGCTTCTGATTTGGAGTACCAGAAGCTGGGGCGACTCTAAATTTTGTTAGGAACGTATAACTGACTTTCGATCGCTTGCTATTCTACCTCAGGCTTCTTCGTCCTGCCGAAATCTCGGATTTTCTAAGAAATTCATATCAGAATAATTTTCTTCGGTTGAGCTAAATTAATTATCTGGACCCTTTTGTCAGAGAAGCTTTTACAAATTGTGGTTCTACTCAGATTACTTAAAAAATATTTACAGTGAATATCATGAGTGTAAATTATAAGATTTGAAGGAAGCAGTGGATCCAGAACACTGGTTAACACTATCAAGTTCGAGTTACGAATACTTAATGTCAACGAGAATAATGTGCTGGTATGAAAAGAAGAAATTAGTTATTCATCTTTTACATCGAATTAATTCCTCTCTGTTGTTTATTCTTACTACCGTATGAACTTCTTATCGGTCATGTCATGTCTTCGTTAAATGCCAATTTGGTGCAAGATAGTGGCAGCACCTATTCAAATTTAAATAATCTAGGTAATTAACAATCAATTAGTTACTGTTCACAGTTAGAGGTTGAAATTTATTTCCTCTACCATATCTGAAGCGGTAAAAATCTTACTTATCAAACGCCTTAGTAGGTCTGTAACCATGTTCATTAAATGATTTATTATTACAATAAATAAATTAGATCAGATAAATTAGTTTTTCAATTCAAGTGACCTGACAAGAAAATTCCTGTAAAATTATGTGATGTGTCTTAATATGGTTGTTATTATAGTTCCGCAATACAGAATTATTCATATATTCAGATAAAAAAAGTTATCGGTTTGCATGATTTTGTCATTTTCGATTTCTTATATACTGCATGGAATTTTTCTTTAGGCTGCCAATTGACGGCAGGTCATTTAAAATCCTTCATAAGACGGATTCTTTAATAAATTTAAATTTTTCAATATCCTGACTTCATTTTAACATTTATATTAATTTGTCTATCCTCTCAGTTTATGGAGAAATTGTGAATTTAATGAAATATTACGCAGTCAAAACTCAGTATATAACTTTTCTGCTCGAAGTGTATTATTAGTGTATGTTTTTCTAAATTTTTATAATCCGAATAGTTTTAGTGACTGTCTGATCGTTAACTTTCTGCTATTTATAATAAGCTTTTTTAAAAAAATTACATATCGGAAAATATGATAATACTAAAATTTATTGGAAATGTCATTAATTGTCCCTAATTACAATGATTCAATGAAAATCAATTGACAATGAAAATCAATGACTTCAATTATTCAATGACAATCAACTATTGACAATGAAAATCAATTGAATTCATCAATATGAACTCCTATGTTAAGAAATTCCAATTTATAGAAGCTTATGCTCTTTTGAGTCAAATTCTCTGTTATTACGTTCAAGTCGTGAATTTCAACAGATGATTAATATTGACAGTCCAAATATGTATGCAATTTGTCATTCGAATTCAACGTATGTGGATTTCGGAGCGACTATTTTTTCTTTTTCAATAATGAAAGCATTAGTAAATCTCAATCAATATGATACACGAGTCACGTACAATCATTTATGATTGTATAAGTTTCATTGTATATGCGATTTGATTGTCATCATCGCTGGTAATCATAGGTCCGCCAATTTTTACGGGGGCATTTGTAATATTGTCATTCAAACGTAAATATTCATGAATTAATAAAAAAATTATTATGACATTGAGAAAAGAAAATATTTTTGTAGTGCGAATGCAAAAAATTATGATAACTGATAAAATTGCAACATTTTGCAGAGTAAATATGATGCTGTAATACATTTGCAAAAACATGGCATTCAATTTTCACGTCCTAACATAACCTCATTTTCTGGCAAGCTACTGTTAGGGTTTACAAAATTTAATGTATTAATTTAGTTCATCAATAAGTTTTAATAGCCTTATGTGTTGATGCTATCATGATTCTTCAGGTTAATAATTTTCTGTAACTTTTCACTTTATGCACAATCTGTTTAAATATTTGTTGATATTGTTGCAGCTTCAAGCACAATGCGTCGTTCGTGACGCGCCTCCCAACCATCCGCCGACATCGCAACCAAAGCCACTCGCCCTCCATCCGGTCCCGCAACATGGACGCCAACGCCATCGACACACCAAATGCTACCAAGTCAGTTGACCTAGCAATTAAAATTTACGGTTGTCGTCCAATTAATTAATTAAGAAGTACATGATTAATTAAGGAGTAATTGACACGCACAATGGACGCCAACACCATCGACGCTCCAAACGCTACCAAGTCAGTTGACCTAGCAATAAAAACTTTCGATTGTAGTGAGATTAATTGGGAAGTAGGTGATTTTTTTCCTTCTGCATGTGCGCATATAATACAAATTTAAACCATGGTCTTAAAACTTTAAAAAATTCTATTTTGTTTTTTGTTCGCGTATTTTCAATTTTTTGAACGATTAAACTAAAACATTTGAAGCGGCAATTTGTATTTAAAGCATATTAGAATTTCGAAAAATTCTATTTTTTCCCCCGTATTTTCATTTTTTTTGAACAATTAAACTAAAAAATTTGAAGCGTAAATTTGTATTCAAACCATATTAGAATTTCGAAAGATTTGATTTTTTTGTTCGCGCATTTTCAATTTTTTGAACGATTAAACTAAAACATTTGAAGCTTTACTCTGTGTTCAAACCACATTAAAAAAGTCTGTTACGAGTCTGTCACACTTCTCAAATAAGTCAACAATAGTCTTACATATATCACAACAAGCCACAACAACAAAACATACGGCCTAAAAAAGCATGAATAATTTCAAACGATGGCTTCAAGTCTGATAAGGAAATAATAATACGATTCCGACTTCAACAATGTCAACAATTTAGTCAATCGGGGCTCCTTCTGCTATGATATTTGCACTGGTGAAGAGTTCATAACCATAAAATCATAACATAAATAATAAAGAACATTTTCTAACGCATTTTCTCATCGCGATTTTGCTGCAGGATTGCAGACGCCTTCTCTTAATTCAAACCTGAATATTCATCTATTTGACATGAAGCATTCAACTATTTGAAATGTTCAAATTAGAATCCAGATATGCAATGACAACCACCCGTTGCGAGCTAGCATCATTTTGGAGATCAGTTATATACGAAAGAAATATTTCTAAATTGAAAAATTCAAACATTTTATGCAAAGACACTGCGGACCTAAGCAAAAAATTTAAAAGTTTCTTTTTAAAGTGCTGAGCAATTGCGACGTAAAAGATTCGTCCAAAAATCTAATTAGCGATAAAATCCCTCAGAACATTAGATTTTTTCAGTTGGTTAATTTTGGTGACTGAGGAACGACAATTCCGAGGGTCACTTTGAACAATTTGGCACTACGGGAACGTCTGCACAGCAGAGTGGAATAATTTTGTGTGCGAATTAGGCATTTTAGTTTATGCTGTGGCAGGCAAGCTCAAAGCAAGTACATGAACTTGAATCTTAATGTCAAATAAATATTTGTTTCTATTTAATGCTCTCAAGATAGGCGATCTTAGAAGCAAATAAAATAATTTGTTCTAATTTTTTAAGATTTATTGACGAAGAAACAAATGACTAAATCAGCTCGAGACTTGATGTTAAAGTTTTTAAGTAAAAACAATTCCAAATTTGTTATATAAATGAAACGAATACATCTGTAATCAAAGTCTGTGTTTTGTGACTTTTGTGAGCACAAACTTCAGCTAATAACGTTTACAAATTGGTTAAAAGCTAATGATAACATTTATTCATTGGTGAGAAGATATCTGGAAATGCTTCGTTGGGGAAATATCGAATATATTATATCTCCTAAAATCTAAGAAAATTTTCATATCTTGAATTGTGTAAACCGGCTAATAATAAGAATAATTCTAGCTTTTTAGTGCATTTTCTCATTTATGGAATAAATGCATTATTGTGCTCGCCATGTCCGTCCGTCTGTCTGTCCGACTGTCCGTCTGTCCGTCCGTCTTTCCGTCCGTGACTTCACGTTTTCGTCAACGAGAAAATGCTCTCTCTGTTAGTCACTGCAGTGAGTACTGAGTTATATTTTTTAAATATTATGAGAATATTCTCACAAGTATTGTTTTAAAAAATTAATAAACTGACATGAAGTTTAGCCCATAATTGAAGAACCACTATTCAAAATGCAAGCCCCTCCTTCAATGCATATCAAAAACCAACACGATTCCCCACAACGACCAAACCCCGTAAGTCCAGCAGCGCTCATCACCCGTCCAACACGACTCACATCTGACTCTACTAGTACTGTGGCTCCTAAATTGAGCTCTTCCAGTGCCATGTCCAAGGATGTCATATCTCGAGAACCCGCTGGCCATGGACGATGAGCCAGATCATATGATCTGTTCGGAAATGCTCGGTCTAGACAATTTCACACACTTCTCGATGCACGGAAGCTCCGACGTACTGGAACGCCATTAGTTATCGAATGTCTGAAGATACATTGTCTAGTAAGTCAATCAACAGCTCTCTTTGAAGTATTTACATTAATTAACTAATGACTCTGAGGAAGCGCAAATAAGCGAACGAAATGTCTACCAATAGTCCTAGCGTACACTCTAACACTGAAAAGACGATGCCCGTAATTCGATGTAAGGGAATCGTCTTGACGCTCTGTATGGAACAAATACTTCAACTGAATACCCTACACTCTCAATATTATCATAAATGAAACTACGGAAAAACCATTCACAAAGATGAAGGTAGGCTAAGGCGGTAACATCTACTCAATTCTAGTGAGACGGTACATATAATTTTTGAAGAGGTGACTTGTGTGACTCTTCAAATATGATCACTTCCTGGGGTAACGAAAGTGTATTCCAAGTGCGTTTGTTTGTGTTTGAACTCAGGCTTTCCAGCAGGATGGTTCATTAACCCTCTACCGCCGTATGTCACCTTCCGGGAACATATAACTTTCAACTTAAATTATAAGTAAACTATTGAGTGTAGTAACCTGAAGACATTTGTACGCAACAGAGAACATTTTAAAGTTGCCGTACGTGGCGGCATCAGTGCAAGTTATTTTGCGCTCACTATAGAACGTATCCTTTTTGGGTAGACTTGTGTGACAATACTGCTCCGGTTACTCGCATCAGGCGGGAGAGGGTTGCGTTAAATACTGCTCTTCCAAGTCACGAGCTCGCTCAGGACGAGCCTAACGCACATGTCTCGAAATCCAGCGAGCCTCACTGCCGAATAGGCACCCTCGTGAAAATTCAAATGGTTAAGCAAAAAACTTGTTAAAAAACGATCTGTTTCCATTCTAAATGTCTCCAGATAATTGTCATCCGCTAAATCAAGAGGCATGTGCAATTGTATCTAACATCCCAGTACTTATTAATTAAGCAATGCTTCTTGTCGAAACTCCAGCGTTCACCCATAGTAGACGATGGGTAAAAAAATCTCATAGCAAGTGCTCCTTACGTTAAATAATTTTTTTAATATGCTTGAAATTATGCGTTAACACCTCTAAAACAAACGAAATTATTGTTTGACCCTCTATGTTTCAGAAAATAAGTATTTTCAAGTTCTTATAGCAGTGATAACTGGTTTATAACAAGTATGAGCTAGAAAGCTCAGTCAGCAATGTGTTCAGTCTTCTTCAGATTTTCGTATGAATTACATTGCAATATCGACCATTTAACGACTGATGTCGCTTATCCAAGCTCGACTGAGGCTGCTGGGAGATAAAAAGCCGTGGCAATTTGCTGAAGCAATTCCCCTGCGGAGAACCAGCCCCGAGGAATGGAATGAAATGTTAACGGACTTGGATTATCATCATACAATGAATAACGAGATGACAGATCTGTACAATATAGTTCTAGACTTTAATGCAACTGTATAGAGGTAATTCTGCTTAACGCGAAATTAATTTGCTTTAAAAGTAGACATTTAGCAATTTTGGTAAAGAAATTTGTTTGCCGGGAGAAGAATGACAATGATTTTTATGTATTGATAAAACATTTGTATTTTACAGGAACCATTAGCCTAGCATATCACACGCGAAACTTCTATTTAAAAAAAGAGCCTCATCTCCTGTCAACTATAACATTAAATTTTACGACGTACAGATGCATTTCGACCAAAATTATTTATATGCTGCATGCAGGCAGGGGAATTGTTTTCTAAATTGAGGTAGTTCTATAAAGATACTGCATGGAATGATCAAGTGCGAAGTATCAATGGCTTCCGGTGCATCGGGAACAATAAAATATAAATGGTTACAAGCCGTAAATTCCTCTCTGACCAAGTGCATAAAATGATCGGTTTGCGCCATAATAAAATTATTTGACTGCTACATCTCTGATTGAATAACTCATTTTATTTTTTACAACCCATCTGCTGATCATATTTTTGTATTGAGTACCGGAGCAAAAAAAAAATCCGTTACGGAGAATCCACCGGTAATTTATCTTAAGAGAGGGTCTCGTGCGACGTTATTCGATTTTTTTATTAATTTCAATTAACCTAGTTAAGAGTTATGATAGCAACCATCTCATCATACATTATTTCAGTCTCTAATAAGTCTACGCGGACATTTAGACAGATTCCATTGAAATCATTCAGCATAAAAGCTGACGATTTAAGTTAAAAAAACTTAAATTTATTCGTTTAATAGTCAAATATCATTAGAGGAATTTTATTTGATAAAAAATTTTATGCGTTTATCATATTGTATGATACAACTAGGATTACATTTTCTATTTATAATGATTTACTGCTGGCAGTAATTAGATTTAACATTAATTTTTTTAATCATTCGTTTGCTCCCAGGGCTTTTATCATGGGACTGACACCGTTGTGAGTAAAAGTTAACTTTGGGCGGCACTTTTCTTAAGTAGTATCAATATTTTGTACCTGCATCGATATACCATGAAGCACAACACAAGAATTTCCCAAAGCACATCTAATTTAAGGAACAAATAATTGACATGTCATGCTGCCAGTTCGTAACCCTTTTTATCACTGTCGGCTAGTGATCTTGTTCAGTTATCCACAAATGATGTAAAACTCTTTCAACCCATCTGTATATATTTTTTGAGAGAAAGAGGGGACCTACTTGAAAATTATGTAATTTGAGTTTCTGAAAATTATTAAGGAAAATACTAAGACAAATGTAGCCCCGTTATGTTGGTTTGTCGCTCGTCAACCGAGACAACAATGGTTAAGCTCCATCGCAAAAAAATATTAAGCACTACCACAAAAAAAGTTTTAAGTACCGCTACATAAAAAGTATTAAGCACCGTTAAAAAAGTATTAAGCACCATCACAATAAAGTGTTAAGCACCACCACAAAAACTGTTAAGCACCATCACAAAAAAGTGTTAAGCACCATTGTAGTGTTAAGGCATTTTGCGACTTTTATTTTGTAATAAGATTATGATTTACCTTTACCTTGGCAACACTGGTAGGAAGTTAACGTCGCGCACAGAATTTTCTCGTTAGTCATTATTGTTCGGCTGATCCCCGCTGCAGGTTAGTTTAAGCTCTAATAGGTTCCTTTTTAGTGTCTGAATAATTGTTATATTGTGTAAAGTATTGTTATTGTTATATGTATGTAACAATATATGTTATATATTGTTATTGTTATTGTTATATTGAGTATTGTTATTGTTAAAAAGTGTAAAGCACCATAAAAAATATTTACAAGCAGTTTGGAAACTATTGTACTGCACTCTAGCACCGAAGCAAACTATCAACCTACAGTTGCAAGTAAATTGGAAAAACCTGACTGAGTCGACCATAATCGCATTTTTAATTAAATATGGGGTCGAAATGGTCATGAAAATTGAAAAAGTAGGGTCATTATGAAAATTAATACGCAAAGCTAAAAGTTTCCCAGAATATTTTTCCTCTGAATTCAGAATGAAGAAAGTCTATTATCGGCTAAATTTTGAGGAGCGATTCGAAAAATTTGCAAAACAAAAAATAGAAATAAAAAATTATTTTACAATGCTCAGTTGAGTAAATTGGCTTCATCTTTGAAACCGTTTTTGCCAAATTTCAGCATCAATACTCAAAATACCCACTCTGGTAGTAAATATTTCTGCCAATCAATCGAACATAAAAGGCAGTTTAATTAAGTTCTGTATTTTACCGTATCCGCAGTTATTGAGGTGAAGTTCATCAAGTAATGAGAATGTGTAAAATGATATAACATTGGATGCGAGACCTAAAACAGTTGCTATCAACAAATATACCGAAAGTCAATCAACTGATTTTTATAATGCCAGAACAAGACAGCATCGTTTTCAATTTGTCATTTTTTTTGACAAGAGGGTTTTAACGACATCTCAAGAAAACCCGTTTATTACGAGTTCATTAACACGTGATTACCAGCTAGTGGCTCAGGTTGGAATCACTTCATTTCCAAGCAAAAATTTAATTTAGAGCTCATCACGTTACTTTTTGTATCAGCTATAAACCGAGCGTTATCAGATCCCTTTCGACGGAATCACATGAACCTGATTTTGTGGATAGGTAAATGTTATAGTCAGAATCCATTCGTCAGGTTAAACTAAGAATAATCCCTGAAATGCATCGAACAATGTTACGCGTTAGATCAAACAACTCGCTGATATGCTAACTCGAGACGTACCGTCACTTTGAAATGTTGAGCTTTGAAGCTAGAACACTGGTGTGCGACACGCATTATTCAATTTTAACGCATGAGAAACGGTTTGCCTTTGATGTTATTTCTTGTCTCTTCGCTAATTTCAAATAATATCGACAATACAGCTTTAAATGTTCCCGGATTCAATAACTGGGGCGCAATCTTCTCATTATAATATTTTCAGAGGTTAATAGGATTTATTGCGTCGTGGTCAACTTAATTTCCGCATCATATCCATTTATTAAACGAAGTAAGACATTATAAGATCGTCGGGTGAAACTACCAATTCATGAAATTTACTTATTTACAATAAGGTTAGCAAGGCACTCATTTCTAGTAGAAAGATTTTTGCATAAAACTGTATGAAAATAATTACAATGATGTATGAATGCTCTTGTTTGTCTATGCTCATTTCAGCTATATCGCAATTTCTGCTTTGTTCTTTGCTTGATCAGACACAAAGCTCCTTGTTCACTTTCATTTTTAATTTTCTGAATATCTGTGGTAAATAATTATATATTTAGTATAACCTAACGCTGAGTGCCGTATGCATTTGTTCCTTTAATTTTTAATGAAAAATTAAAGACCTTTATATGCGTCCAGTTGTTAACTTGAAACCATTCTAATAGAACTATTTTACGGTCACGATTTTATCTACTCGCTTTAATGACACCTTTTGATAAGTTTTTTATTTACTTCTGCTGAGATTCGATCATATATAACGCCGGATTCTTTATTTCAGCAACTTCTTCGAAGAAATTTGCGTGAATATGTCGATTCCACAGAGTTTCAGAGTTTCACTTTCTTTTAAATTTACTTTTGGAACGCACAGGAAGTGGAATATATCAATAATTACTTTCCAAATTCTGCATTTCGTGAATTTTTCATGTCATGTATTTCATTTTTTGTCATTCAACTTTACGCAATTACTTATCGTTACCATACACAATCTTTCATCTACTCTTATCATGTCATATGACTTCATTCACAATTTTTTATCAGGCACGGTTTCCACGTGAAGCCTCTATCAGAAACACTCCAATACTGTACATTTCGCATTTTCACTGATTTTCTGTCAATTTTTTCATGCGTTATTTCTCTCATCCTACTCACACACATATTTTAATTTTTAAGAAAGGTTTACTTTCTATTTTCCCAAAATCTTCTTCCAGCTAATGTCCAAGAATTTTTCTCCTCTGCCGCAGGCTCAACGCTGCCAACAGCGACGATATTGAAATAAAAGATGCGGTCACCGAAGCCTTCCTGTCCAAGAAAAACTCCGACGGTGAGTCCAAAGCACAAATTCTCCTTCAACATCGATTTCACTGAATAATCAACTTATATATCAGTAATTCATCCGTACAATGTATTAGAGCAATGATCTAACACAATCATTATTCTCTCATGTCTGTTTATTTAGTTTTTTTTAGTAGGACAGAGCCTAAACCTGAAATTTCGGTAATGAAATCAGCTGCGTGCTCTAATTCTAAGCCTTTCCCAAAACATTAATGAAACTAGTTCAAGACATTATGAAGGGCAATTTCAGTCGAAATTGTAGTCTTCTCGGTCGAAAAATCCGCTTCCACGAATTAAGCCCTCATTTGAAAACTAACTTCAGCCTCTATCTTGTTCTGTAATAATACGAGGAACAATATTCTAATTCTTTCAACATAAAATAAAATTTTCGCCATTGGGTATTTACAAATCATCATTAATAAGTCGTCATCTCTTACGCAATACACCAATCTCCCTTCATGAAAAAATTAATTCATTAATTAAAACTGTAGGTGCGTCTTTCTTACGTGAGTTTTCGCGGGAAAAATATTACTGTTAGAACATGTTTACTTTATCAACGCCGGCCTGGAATGCGTTGATCAAAATTTAACTTGACGGCCCTTATTCCTTGTACGTCATTATTGCATAAGCCGTATAATTAAATGCACTTTAATTCAACCGAAAGGACCGGAAATCTAGAATATCCAAGTTCCCTGTACCATTGCAAGCTGCTTTGAGAGGCTAACTGCAACTTTGTTCTGCTGAACTTTCCGAGAAACAATCCTCTCCGTGGTCTCCTCTAAATGTATTCAGATTCTAGTGTCATGGGATTAAGATTTATAACTTACACTGCTTAACTTCGAGGAGCTGGAATGGCAAGGCCTCCAACTCAGGTTTCTCCGCTCCAGGTTTCTCCGGTCTCCTGAGACGAGCGTGGGTGCGAAAGTGCTCCCTGATCCAAATAAAATTTAAACTACCAAGACCTGGTTTAGTTCTATTTCTGTTTCATTCTTTTTTCAGTAATTGTAGAAATTTGAGGGAAAGTTGTGAAATCAAACTCATTTGCTGCAATTTATAAGACAATTTTAAATATTTCAAGATTTCCTTGTGCTATGACTATGGGAATCACATAACAATGCAATTCTTTTTCTTTATTCGATGCACTATACCATTCGTTATAACATAAATTTTCATTGTTTATTCAGTACTATTCAGGAGAAGAATTTTTTGCGCCTGGTCTCAATATTTCATACAATAATCAACACTACGTGTATTAGAGACAATTTTAAAGCTTTTTTAATTTCAATATTATACAAAGTTTAGTTGTATTTGCATAAATGTATGCGTATGGTTGATGTAACTCTGGGAATAATTCGTTGGAAGGCCGTTTGGTGACATCCATTCTGGATGACATCGCATCCGCCCACGATATGAGACAATTTAATAGATTTTTTAACTTCAATATTATACAAACTTTAAATGCATTTGCATAAATGTATGCGTATGGTTGATGTAACGCTGGAAATAATTCGTTGGAAGGCCGTTTGGTGACATCCATTCTGGATGACATAGCATCTGCCCACGTTGAGAGACAATTTAATAAATTTTTAACTTCAATATTATATATTATACAAAGTTTAAATGCATTTCCATAAATTTGTGCGTATGGTTGATGTAACACTGGGAATAATTCGTTGGAAGGCCGTTTGGTGACATCCATTCTGGATGAGATCGCATCCGCCCACGGCGGGATGCCCTCGTCGCCTGAAGACGCGGCTCTCATTCCCCTCATTCTCACTAAGCTCCTGCAGAAGGAATTCGAACCTGCGACCTCTCCATCAGAGACTAAGAAAGGTCCTTGATGTGCTTGTGTTTTGTCGGCACTAACAAACGTCGAGAGATTGTGTTCAATCTGCTGAATTTTTCATTCACTTTCCTTCAAATGATCTTGGTCGTTTCATTGATCGAACTTGTCCATATACACAGACACACTTTCAACACTCGAGAGAAACATGGATTTTATTTTTTTCTAATACTTAAAACTGCACCGCTGAAAAATATGACAAAATTACTTACATGAGGTGTCGAGTCTACACCAACGCCACTGAAATCAACTCAATATTTCACTTGATATCCTTTTGGAACGATCGAGATCACGCACGACTTGCTTGTTTCTCTTCTGCACCAGCAAAACAAGAGCTTCGAGATTATGTGAAAAATTTTTCTTCTTCATTGCATATGTTAAAGATATGAATAACACGATTGGTCGAAGATCAAATGTTAATCACGGTTAAATTTGATAATGCATCTTTTTCTGGGCACTCTTACAAGGCATAGGTTTTTTTTATCGCAGCATTTTCTCGCCTTGAAAGGCGGAAAAAACTATACCTATTTGATAATTATTTGTCAGGAGCAAAATTGCTTATTATAAGAAATTATGTCGAAGCACTCATCATCAAAACTGTAAATAATGTCAGTTTAGCATAATGATTGTTTTTACAATATCAACGGGAGCATGTGATAGATAGAACTTTTTTCTCATTACCATTCATCACAAATATAATGCCTTGTGCTTCCAGACACTATATTTCAACAATTAATTGTAATAATCTAACCTGCGTCTCTGTTTTCGCACTTTATGGCACACCACTGAATGATTGATGTCGTTAAGCTAGGTTCTTATTTCTACCAAAGATAAGCAAACAATTCTAGGCAGGAATAACGTGGTATCATAGAAGATTAATAATACTGCTGTATACTAAAGAGTAGCGGGGGAATGCATCATCACTGGAGTAACCTCGGTCGTCCGAAAGTCGACTTGGTTACGTATACAAATTTGTTTCGGTTCTGGAAGTTCAGGGTGAAATTGAGACGGAATATAAAACGCAGGCATAGTTGTTTCCCCATTTAATAAATTTTATGAATTTAATATGGCCTTTTACTAAAAATTAAATCATGTTCAAATGTTATTAATTTGCTGCGATTTCAAGAAAAGTCAACTTACTGCTGGGCAGGAACGCGATATTACTCATATAATTTTCACCTTCGAAGACTTCTTAGCCGGTCAGTCCTAAATAAAGACAATTGTTTTATTGCTCGCAGGAATTCTAAAATTATGTGTTGCCTGTGGCGTAAATAATAACGTATCGCTTGGTAATTTAATTTTGAACTTTGCCTGTAACTTTCAAGCACCCTGACATTTAAAATTGCCCACTTGTTCTCGCTCCTCATTGACCTTTAGGTCGCGGCTACAAAGCGCCTGCATCAAGGATTCTACAGAACGAAAGTACATGATAAACTTACTTCAGAATTAAATATATTCCCTCAACTTATAATTCCGGAGTACGATATCGTGATGGTAAAAACGCCCACCAATTAAAGAAAGGTTTTTATCCCGGCTTTGCATAATAAAATGTAGCTCCCCGAATAAAAATTGGTTATTAGATTTAATTTAAATTTTGTGGGAAAAAAGTACGTGGCGTGAAATCTTAAGACGAATTTTAGATTCACATTTAACTGCATGATTATGCTCGTTATTATTCACCTTAATATAACGAGCACATGTTACGTCATAAATCCGGCTAATATTGCTGAGACGCGTCATTGCATTTACATTACATTAAATTTCCTCAACAAAATCATATTTGACAATAAATTGCCGTGTTTTATCCAAATAAGAAAAAACTTTTCCGTATTAAGAAACTTTGCTCGCCTTCTCAGCATATTTATATTTAAATTAGGCTGATCTCAATGACCTCAACACTGCAACATCGCAATCATCGAATTTAGTAAGGGACGTATTCAACATGAACCTAAAATAAAAGATTGTTTGTTATGTCTTCAATAAAATTCCATCCAGAATATAGTTGATCGTTAGTAATGTCTTCAATAAAATTCTATCCAGAAAATATTTGATCGTTAGTTATGTCTTCAATAAAATTCCATCCAGAAAATAGTTGATCGTTAGTTATGTCTTCAATAAAATTCCATCCAGAAAATAGATGATCGTTAGTTATGTCTTCAATAAAATTCCATCCAGAATATAGTTGATCGTTAGTTATATTTTAAATAAAATTCCATCCACAAAAAAAAAATCTGTCCACAGCTGAGTGTGAACGCGCCAGGAGAAAGCGAGTGCTGATCGAAGTCAGTTCGGGCGCTCGTTGTGTTGGACGCTTGTGAAGTGCCGTAACTTTCGTTAGTTTTTACGCTCTCCATTTATGTTCTTTTCTGTTATAGATCTTATCTTTTCAGACGAGGACGAAGAACAATGTCGAGTACTGCAGCTCACGGCACAACACAAGGGCGCTATCCGATCGATCAGGAAGGTGAGTGTAGACGAGGGCTTCTCGAAGTGACGAAATAAAATTCAGTAAAATTGCTTGTTTCTGCCGCAGTCAATAGGACATCAAGTCTCATTTGGTGAAAATAATACATAAATTTGTATTAATATCATGGATTGTTGATATAAATTATGCAAATCTACCAGTTCAAACTTATTGCTGATCCTAAATACATGTATCTGTGTTGAACAATCATGTGAGAAGTGAAAAATTATAATTTTCTCTGGTTGATTTATCCAATGAAAATGAACACATCATTACCAATAAGAACGTCGACAAGTATAGATCATATGGGCCTTAAAGCAATTCAATTATTGCTATCAATCGCGCAAAAAATGTCCAGGGCTTGTGATGATTGTTGCTCAAGGCTACCCATTTCTTTATTTTTGACAGTGCCGACATTCATGCGGAAGGCGATACGTAGAAGCATGTGGATATATGAAGTCATTTTTCATTATATTGTGCCTATCTCTACTTTCGTTTCAGGAGTTTATAGTAGCAAATTGTTATTAACTCGTAATCTTATATTGTATTTTTGTGGTTGAAACTTGAGTATTGGTGATGTTTGCAACTAAATGAAATTGTCAATTAAAATTAAGTAATGAATGCATTAACACTCTCAGCAAAACAAAATTTGCTTCTCTATAATTGATTCAAGATAATCACATAATCTGAAACAATTAATACTTGAGCAAGACCTTCCTGACCTATGCAGGTTCTACGTGCCAGTTATTAAAGTGCTCTAAGCATCATTAAAATCAATAGTTACATTACTGATGAAATTACTTTAATTTTTCAAATTATTTAAATTCAAATCGGTGTGACATTTGTCGGCATTTGCTCTGCATTTCTTACTCCGAACTCAGATTTTTTAGGCAAGGAATCGAAAATGTTTATTTGTTCGAAAGGAACATAACAAATTTAATTTCTGAGGTTTGATTTGTTCTAATAAAAAAAAAATTTAATATCTGTGATCTGAATAGTTCCAAAGGTACATAATAAATTTAATATCTGAGGTCTGACATGTTCTAAAGGAACATAATAAATTGCCTGTTTAGACTGCTAACTTATAGTTATGAAGAGTACAAAAATTATAAACTTCAATGGTAACATTGCAATATATTTTAAACACAAAACTTAAATCCATTAATTACCGTTGCAAGCCGTGCACAACTATAGGAACTATGAAGATATCTCGTCAATTGTTCAACTTTAACAATTCAGCGTACGCAACTACTAGAAAAACTAATAATGAATCAGAATATGTTTCATAACGAATCAAAATAACCATATGATACCCAAGTTGAAAATGGAAACATTTTTATACCATATCATAATGTAGTATAAAATAACATATTATATCTAATATAATACATTATAAAAAAACAGAAATCAAATTTTCTTGAGATAGTAAAATTCGAAAAAATTGTTCCTGCGTTGCATGAAGTGTTGCGAGAAGCATCTGAGGTCGCTCCAAGGAATCTGTAAGGCACCAAAAAAGAAAGGCTGTCATTACTGGAAGTGCTTTTGAAAAGCAAGTTTCAATCACATGAATGGCATTCTCCTACTGGCCTGTCAGAATTCCATGAGTTAGTAATGAATTTTAGGACATTGCGAGTGAACGAACAATACAATTAAACATCGTTTTTTATCCCCAAAAAAACAGATACCAAATTATTTGCAGTGTATTCGTTAATTCATTATATTTCATGTCAAACTATATGAAATTTTAAGCTACTTGGTTTGAAGTTCATCATGATTTCATCTCGCTACACGATACCATTTTGTTGAAATAACGGTGAATATTTTCTACTCTATTCTATTTGCATACTCCCATACCATATTCAACTTGTATTTCTACATTTGTGGCCTATTTTAAGGTACGAGTGCATACAAATGTTGATTGTCTTTAGCCCTACTAGGCTTCGTTTGGTCCTTTTTCTGTGCCGTGTATGAAATTTTAAATTTGTTCATCTGCACTACAAAATTTTTCGATACACTTGCTCCACTCTAAAACAATTTTGATCTTATTAATGCTCAAAGATTCAAACTTTATTTATTTTGCTCCATACACGATAACATTTTGATCTTCTTGCACCACACCACATCGAATTCTGATCTTGTTCCGCACTAGATCCAATTTTGACATTCTGCTCCGCAATAGATCCCCAATTTTGACCTTCTTGCTCCACACTAGATCCAATTTTGACCTTCTTGCTCCACACGAGATCCAATTTTGACCTTCTTGCTCCACACGAGATCCAATTTTTACCCTCTTGCTTCACACGAGATCCAATTATGACCTTCTTGCTTCACACTAGAACCAATTTTGACCTTCTTGCTTCACACTAGATCCAATTTTGCCTTCTTGCTTCACACTAGATCCAATTTTGACCTTCTTGCTCCACACTAGATCCAATTTTACGTGGCTCGCCGTAAGTTTAAGGAAGCATTGAAGCCATACGACGTGAAAGACGTCATAGAACAATACTCTGCTGGCCACGTCGACATGCTGTCGAGGGTGAAGGCACTTCAAGCGAGGTATTTAGTCCTCACCATACCGTGCTCCACGCTGTATTCTATTCCTTTATTTTGGTACGGAAGGGAATGGTGTTGTTTAGCTTTTTTTATGCTGTCGAAGTTGCCAAATAAAAACCCAGTGCTACTGCCAGGAGCCTAACTTATCTCTTCTCGTCTGACTCCGATCTTTGGCATCCTCTAGAATGGTATTCTCGAACCAATACATCGAGACCTCTTAACTAGAAACCAAGGTAGCTAATGCTGTATTACTACATATATGGCTGCTATTACTAGTACTATTTCTACCTTATTCTCAAAATCTACCCGTAGAATAGCTTCTTGATAGTAGATTTTCTCTCGAAAATTTTCTTCGTATTCCATTCGTAAAAAATCGGTCGCGGTACATTTCCAATTAATTAATCAAACTCTTAGAAAAAATTCGAATTGTACATATTTTACTATACGAGTAAAAGAACCATTAATAAATTGGTATATATGCGAAATATTTCAGTACTAAATTCAATCACAGTTAAAACTAGTTGCACTTACATTTGATCAAACCATACACTAAATTAAGAACATCGTAGTGAACGTTCTTCGTATCTGGTTGAGGTGCCATAGCATTTATTTCAGTTAATATCGTTGTTGAATTAAGAAATGTATGCATAAGTTTCGCTTGCAATGTGCTGCATCATAGCACCCCGGCTTCATGTCACGCTGAACCGACATTGTCGTCGTTTTCAATGTTGTTCGTTTGTGTGGCACTCAACTCGCTATTATTTGAGTCTACCTGGAATATGATGTAAGTTCTATTTAAAACAAATAAATGAATTGGCAAATGAAAAATTAAACACCCTTTACTTACACCACCGGTAATATGTGCGATTTAAATTCTACATCAGAAAATTACATGCCGTTATTGAACAAAAATGTGTGTATTAATTCGTCTATAGTTCATCAGAGGGCGATTATATTTATATAATTTAACTGAAATAGTTTTAGTGTTAAGAAGTAGATTTGATCAGTATTTATTGGTCCACCACGTAATTGCAGTGTACAAAGCATGTCTGCTGGCAGGGGTTCTGTATGCCACGGGTAATTTATCGTGTGTTACTTACCATATTAGCTGTGCATGCTACCAACTTTACAAAGAGAATAACTACTAACATTATTGCTAGGCATTAAGTATTTTTCTCAACTGGCATCCAAATCAGCTCGTAATTGCGACGACCTCCTTGGACGTAAGTATCGGCATTGGCCTATACTTTCAACAAAAAAAGATAAGAGATCGTAAGTTCATCAGCCAATCATTGACGGCATTTCAAACAAAATCCACCAATCAAAGACAAGAAAATAGAGCGTAAGTACTTACGTTCACTTAGCCAGTTTTGAATGTATGGCCCCTGGGATGGACGGTTTGGTAAACATGATGTAACCTCAAAAAAAATCCAGAAGACATTCTGGAATGCTCTTCATTTCACCCTCTTTCTTCTAGGTATAATTATGCATCTCCATCGAGAACCATGTAATGTATTCAGAATGAGTGAATTTCAGCGAATCGTTCTTTTAATGCAAAATAAAAAAAAATTAATTATTTTTCACTGAAGCCGAGTTGACTCGATTGTTCCAATACCTTAAATAGGATTATCATGTTCATAAAATAAATCCTTTCAATGAAGCCTGAGAGGGATTTTGCTCCGCAAATGTTTTCTGTGAGAACGTAATCCTGGTAATTGTATTGGCATAATTTGTACAGCTTTCACTGTGTACAAGTTCCGTCAAATATTCAGTTTGCCATCTATTGTTCCTAGAGCCATGTGAAGTCATGATGAAAATATTATTTAATCCTTTTTCTTCTCAAATTTCCTCATTCTATGTTGAAAGAGGATTCATATATATCTGAAAATGAGATTATGAGGCTTGGATGACTTAATGTTTCTATTAAATGTCTATGATACTATCAATCTTTTTCGCGATCTTTTAGAAAGTCTTGTGAAGCTTCCCCGAGAAAATGAAAACTCAATTGGAAATTTGAATACTTCTTTTCAGCCTTCTTCATCAATAGTATAATTTCACACCAAGTCAGATCAGACTTATTGTGTACTTACGGGAATTTATACGATAAATAATAGGCTTCGATCATTTTCGATTTATACTTCTAATGAACAGGACTAATTTTTGAAAATCATCTGATGAATTACTAAGTAAAATCAATAAATATGTGGTTGCCTTACAGAACATAACCGACGCCAAATTATTGGTTTCTATGATTTATTTTACTCGACTTCTGTCTTAATTAATCCCTCCCTCATTCCTATTTATTGAAAATTGCCAGTTTGCGCAGCGTAATTTTTATATTTTAGATACGGTATTGACGAATTACATAACATATTTCTGCCCTTAAACTTCGACAACGATCAAGTTTCCCAGTTATTTCAATTTCGCTGTCTCTGTCCGAATTTCATAAAGAATTAAACTCGTATTTTCACTTTACACTTTACTCTACTTCCCAAACGTCGTTCTATCTGACAATATCAAAACATTAAACGATTTTCTTCGCAATCCTCAATACCAGATGGTTATGTCGTAAAGATCCAGGCCCCATACTTTCAAAAAAGTTAAGAGATCGTAAGTTCATCAGCCAATCATTGACGGCCTTTCAAGCAAAATCCACCAATCATAGACAAGAAAATAGAGCGCAAGTACTTATGTTCACTTAGCGAGTTTTGAAAATATGGACCCAGATCATGGAAAGTTTTTCCCGTTGCTCAAATATCTAAGGCGATTGGTTAATTTTTCATAATCGAAGCCACCTCCTGAAGTTATATTCAATTTTTCAACACGATGACGATTTTTAGCAACAGTATATTTTAATATTTCAGCAGTTATCCCTTATCAAAATTTCAAACCACTACAGAACCTCATGCGGCCAAGCGTGCTTATGCTCGCATCAGACACAAATATACTATAAACTTCACATTACTCCTCATACGATAAAATTTACAGTCATGCTCGCAAAGATTTTAGGAATACCTTTATTGATTTTTCCTACAATTCAGACTTCAGTCGCCACATTCATCGCTTCTTTGGTTTGCCTTTTCCTGTTTTTCAACTGGAGTCTCGAGGTTTCTGTCCTCGGCATTGCCCTTCCTTCTCTTCCCTCTGCCAGATCAAATACTTCGTGGCTAGGCGTAAATTTAAAGAGGCCTTGAAACCGTACGACGTAAAGGATGTAATCGAGCAGTACTCTTCAGGACACGCAGATCTGCTCACCAGAGTCAAGTTCCTGCATGGCAGGTGAGCGAGACACTGGATGATCGAAACGATGGAAGCACGATCATAAAATCCATTATTAGCGCATTTTCTTATTTATGGAAAAAATGCCCTATTGTGCTCGTTATGTCCGTCCGTCTGTCTGTCCGTCCGTCTGTCTGTCCGTCTGTCTGTCCATCTTTTCGTCTGTGACTTCACGTTTTCGTCGACGAGAAAATGCCTCTCCGTCACTCACTGCAGAGAGTACTGAGTTATATTTTTTACACGATGAAACGGAACATGTATCGCGGAAATTGGATGCAAACTCATATCAGATTTGGGCTATATTAGCACCTACATTGTTTCTTTAGATTCAACAAGCGTTCCAGTCCTGAAAGTATGAACGAATTTTCGTCAAACAGCTTCAAACCCTCAAAAATTATCAAATTCAACAAATTATCAACAAAATATCAAATAAATTATCAAAAATGCGAGTAAATTTAAAATTGTAAGACTTTATTGAGAGTGTCAAGTCTTGACCAAATTTTTGCTGAAAAGGGCTTAAAATTTTAACATGTGAGCACAAAACGCCCCGAGGGAGCTGCATGATATTTACTTTAAATTAACCGTATTTATATATTACGGTGAGTGCAGTATAATCTTCGAATTACCTGTTCAGAAGGTACGTGAGAAACTTGCGAGTTCTTTGCATTCAATAACACCCACTCTTGAAGAGCCTTTTTGAATGCCTTTGTTCTAAGATCACCACTGCATTGTGAACACTTTATGCAATTACAAACTGATTATTTTTCTTGCTTTATCGTGCATTTGGCAACGTCATCTGACAGCATGATTAGTGTTGCAAATAATATCGATAACTTTGTGCTTCATAATTCTATTTTATTTTTTAAAGAAAGTTTTCTTCACTCGAGTATCTGCCACGATTCTTCGAGAACACTTCGATTCGTAGAATTTATTTAATTTTAAGTGTAAACATTACCACCACTTATGCACTTAGTGTTTGAGAGTTAAAAATTGCAGTTGAAGTTTGCATTTTCTTATTAGGGTACTACTTTGTATAATTTAAAATTTTATTGCACGCGTACTTTTAAATACTGTATAAAGATTTCCAAGTTTAGGTGAATTTTTTTTCGCGCTCTAAATTTTGTATTCAAATTTCTTTGAGGTTAAATGTTATTCTGGACATTAAAATAATAGGGTTACACATGAGGTTTCAAACTTTTTCTTTGGAATCCGTGAATCAAATTTCGGTGCTGAAGCTGAAGACGTTAAAAGAATCATTTACTTTTTTTCCTTATTGGATTTAGCAAAAATTTTCACAGATTATAATTATCAGAGTAGAATTCAACTGAAATTTCCAAATTTACATACATCTAATCTAAATGTCTAAATAGTAATAATTATCAAAGTAGAATTCAACTGAAATTTTCAAATTTACATACATCTAATCTAGATATCTATCTTATATCTAAATATTGTAAAAGGTTTTGAAAATGTTTGAGCAGTAATGGATGGTAATGAATAGGATGAAATTGTTATTTCTTCATGTATATATACTTACTTAAAATATGAGCTGCAAGCAAGCGGTGAATTATAAAGAAATCTAAATATAATGTCATTTACGTTTATAAAATTATTTTCCTTGACATTTATGATATATAAACAATTTATTGCTCTCTTAAAAGCGGGATAGTTCTTAAGATAATTCAGAATCTATACAAAATTTCTCGGGTGTTCAGATTGGATCAAATCCTGGGCAAGCAAGGATCGAAAGCAAAGGACGTATACGAGTCCAAGATTTCCCTCGCGTCTCGGATCGTCAAAGTCGAGAGACAGGTAATGTGTCCATTGCCCTCAGATCCTTTCTTGCTTACCCTCACCTCCTCCATTGCCCTCAGATCCTTTCTTGCTTACCCTCGCCTCCTTCATTGCCCTCAGATCCTCTCTTGCTTACCCTCACCTCCTTCATTGCCCTCAGATCCTCTCTTGCTTACCCTCACCTCCTTCATTGCCCTCAGATCCTTTCTTGCTCTCCCTCACCTCCTTCATTGCTCTCCCTCACCTCCTTCATTGCTCTCCCTCACCTCCTTCATTGCTCTCCCTCACCTCCTCCATTGCTCTCCCTCACCTCCTCCATTGCTCTCCCTCACCTCCTCCATTGCTCTCCCTCACCTACTCCATTGCTCTCCCTCACCTCCTCCATTGCTCACCTCCTCCTCTCAAGTGCTCGGCAACAACTAGACCATAACTAGTACTAGATAATAAACTAGAAAACGGTAATGAATAGAATAGGCCCATGAGTACGATTAGATCATTATTTTATATTAATAACGAACAGAATTACATCATGCCTACAACTAAGTTATTATTAGAACGTCATATGTTCTAATAATAACTTATAATAATAAATATATGATGTAGATCATATATTTTACTAGAACTAGGATATGCATAGAACTCGAAATCAATGATAAGATTACGCCAAAGATTGGATTGTGCCTGTAACTGGGTTAAGCATGGAACTAAATCATGTCTAAATCTCGATCATGTCTAGAACTCGATCATGTCTAGAACTTGATCGTGTTTATAATTCGATCGTGTTTAGATCTCAAACATGTCTAGAACTTGATCATGTCTAGAACTTGATCATGTCTAGAACTTGATCATGTCTAGATCTTGATCATGTCTAAAACTCGATCATTTCTAGATCTTGATCATGTCTAAAACTCGATCATTTCTAGAACTTGATCATATCTAGTACTTGATCATGTCAAGAACTCGATCATGTCTAGAACTTGATCATACCTAGAACTTGATCATGTTTAGAACTCGATCATGTCTATTACTTGATCATGTCTAGAACTCGATCATGTCGAGAACTTGATCAAGATTGGAATTATAGGCCTGGATCATGACCAAGATAAGATCAGGCTTATTCTATTACAGTGTTCTAGATCGTGATTAAACCCAAATACCTAGAGCTAGGTATTTGGGATAAGTCATAAATAGGAATATGCCTAGGATTGATCATAAATAGAACTAGATCATTTCTTGTAGTGGATGATGCCTAGATACTGTATAGATCGACTAGAACTAGTTCATGTCTAGAACTTGCTCTTTGATCAGACTGTTTATAATATCTGAGTTTGATTGTGCCCTTGATGCGAGCAAAACAGGCTAGTACTTCAACTCGCAGGAAAAATGTTGATTTTTCTTTTTATTTTTATTATTTTTTTTTGTTCCAGGTTGACGATATCGAGTCTAAGCTGGACCAGCTGCTGGACTTGTACCTGGAGGATCGTAAGAGGCTACTGGCTCTTCCCCCTATCCCTTCCCCAGGCTATGGGGGGTACCAGCAGTTTCCCCCTGGGGGATCGTCGACGGACTTGCTCAACAACGGGGGTTGCGGACCCCCTGACGTCAGCCTCACCCTCCCAATCCCCATTGGGGCAGCCCCAGGCTCCGTGGGATATCAGGTGTGTTTTTACTTGCATTTATGTGCAAGTATTTGACTTTTGCACTGAAAATGCATCGTAATAAAATTAATCCAGACTGGAGCATAAACATTATTATGCATTAATATGCATTATTATGCATCATTATGCATTATTTTGCATTATTATGCATTATTATACATTATTATAAAAGTATTCAGCAAAGAAAACACAAAAGCAAAAAATAGAATCATTCTAAAAACATTTTTAAATTATTGTGTCACACAACGAAAGTGATACTGATTAGATATTAGATTGTTCAGAATCCTTCATTGTTATAAATTAACCCGTAAATTAACACGGATAGGACTTTTCCCATCACTAAGGAGATGGACAAATTACCTAAACAACAACGACTTGAAAACTCGGATACTTCTATTATCAGTCTGCTTAAATCGCAAGTTCACAAGGAATTCAAAAGCAAAGAAAATACCAAGCAAGTTCACCATATCAATATTGAAAATGTTTCGGAGGCCAGCTCCATCGATCGTCAGTTCGACAATCTAAAAATGAATACAATTATTTTATTTTTTGAAATTCTACGTTAGACATTAAAACCTGAAAAGAAATAAAACACAAAACAACCCTTAAATCGAAAACAAGCACTCGCGGAACACAGAGTCATATGAGACACGAAACGACTAATACCTAAGAAAAACACTAGAACATAGAAGCCAAGCGATTCACTATTTCAAGAGGATAAGAACTGAACGTATTTATTGAGACACGGTTTTCGTTTGAAGATATGTAGACTACAAAATCCTGAAATCCGAACTGACAGAGGTAGAACCGAGTATCCTGAAATATGCACTCTCGGATACAGCTTTGTTTGGCGTTTTCTTTGCTTTTAAACTCGGTAATACTTCGTAGTCATGCACGAGTTTAAACCTCTTAAGCAGTCATCTTCCTCGTAAATTTAAACGGCATTCATTCATCTTACGATCACTAAAGTATATTATGATAGCAACGCCTAATGTACACATAATTCAGAATCTGCTTTCAATTGAATAATGCACCTTAAATGTGAATTATATCAATTAATCAGGAAGAAATAAATTCACCTGCATGACATTCAAATCATTTCAATGTACGAATTGTTTATTCAGTTTGATTTGCGTGCCACTAATTCATTCGAATTTAAACCCATTTGTAGTTTAAAAGTAACGCTACTTATCGGGAGGTTTCTCGTAGTTTGAATACGACTAATTTGTATATAAATATAAATTCACGTTGACAACAACTCACGTATTTCTGTATGTGGTGTGGAATGTTAATACCGGTCCATGTATGTGGTGTAGAATGCTGATATGGGTCCATGTATGTGGTGTTCGGTCCATATATGTGGTGTGGAATGTTGATATGGGTCCATGTATGTGGTGTGGAATGTTGATATGGGTCCATGTATGTGGTGTGGAATGTTGATATGGGTCCATGTATGTGGTGTAGAATGTTGATATGGGTCCATGTATGTGGTGTAGAATGTTGATATGGGTCCATGTATGTGATGTGGAATGTTGATATGGGTCCATGTATGTGATGTGGAATGTTAATACCGGTCCATGTATGTGGTATGGAATGTTGATATGGGTCCGCGCATGTGGTACGGAATGTTGATATGGGTCCGCGTATGTGGTACGGAATGTTGATATGGGTCCATGTATGTGGTGTGGAATGTTGATATGGGTCCGTGTATGTTGTGTTCTTCTAAATATGAAGGACCTGCGTCACATGTACAAATTACACTCATTGCTTTATATCACTTACGTGAAAATCATATCTCTGTGTTGTACCTTACTTTTTCATTTGAAGGGTGTCTTTGGTAAGTAATTTTGTTAATTTTTGCTGTAAAATATAAATGTTGATAACTTGTATGTGTTCACCAATGTATGTTAATGCTGGTCGCTGAGTACTCATGGGATGCTATTTGGATTGGATATATCCTACCCAACAGGATACTATTGATTTCAGCGTGGTAGGAATTCATGCAATTTCATTCAAAACGTCACGCAGGGATAAATGTTTACCTTCGGCCTCCCCACTCCCTCTCGCTCCAGGGGGAATTCTTGCCTTGCTCTTCCCCAGGCCTTCTCACAGTCCCCTCTACAGCCCCATGTATCTTTCTTCAGGTACTACTGTCTGTTTCTTGTCTGTTTCTACTGTTAGCTTTCCACTTTCCTTTGTCTGCTACAGTTGTCTGTTTACAATGTTGGTTTTCCAGTATTATTGCCAGGCTATTTTTGTCATCGTCTGCTTTCCTTGTCTGTTATCCTTATCTGTTTTTCCTGCTAATTTCTGTGTCTGTTTTCCATGTTTATTCTCCCTGTTTCCCTGACTGCATTCCTTGTCTGTTTATCGTGTCAAGACTTGTCTGTTATCATGCCTACTTTTTTCATTTATTTTCATGCTTGTTTTTCATGTCTGTTGTCCTCATCTGTTTTCCCTGGTAATTTCTGTGTCTGTTTTCCATATTTTTTCCCTGTTATCCTGACTGCATTCCCTGTCTGTTTATCGTGTCAATGCTTGTCTGTTTTCTTGCCTGGTTTCTTTATCTGTCTTGAAAGCCTTTCACTGTCTGTTTGCCTATCCTGTTTTCATCGCCTGCACTTGAGTTTGCCTCTCGTGATGAATAATTTTCCATTATGCAGTCATTCTTACAGTTTTTAACCTTGAATATGTTAGTTTTTCTCCTCTCTGCTTCCATGCAATATGGTTTTATCCTCTGTTTCCATCTATTCCTCTTCATTCCTTCCCCCATCCTCTCTATTTCTCCTCTCTATTTCTCCTCTCTACTTCTCCTCTCTATTTCTCCTCTCTATTTCTCCTCTCTACTTATCCTCTCTACTTCTCCTCTCTTTTTCTCCTCTCTATTTCTCCTCTCTATTTCTCCTCTCTATTTCTCCTCTCTATTTCTCCTCTCTATATCCCCTCTCTATTTCTCCTCTCGTAGTTTCCGTTTTTTTTCTTATCACTCATTTTCCTTCCTCTCGGTTGCTCATATATATTTTTTTGCTCTAAGGCTCTTTTTCTCTAAACTCTGCATCCTTTTTACTTTCCCTCTTTGACATTTAATGTTTTTATTCTCGGTCTGTCTCTTTCTGTTTCCCTTTTCTCTGCCTTTATTCACTGGAGTCCTGGAAGCGATGCTTGCTTCTTTGTTTCTAGTCTGTCAGTTAGTTTAATTCTGAACGCATTCCGATTTATCATTTTCCTGCGTTGGAACTTTTCGTTCCCTGTGACAATTTTATAATGGCTGATTGCTGATGAAATTTTATCCACCAGATAATTGTCTTTCCCGGACATTTTGTCTGGCGATAAACGGTTTTGAATTAGCGAAATTTTTAAATAAAAGTTTCCTAACTAAAACCTTTTCTTATGGTTAGTCATAATCTGTTTGATCAAGATTGTTCATAGAAAAATTTTTAGTGATTCAATATTTCAACATCCATCGCGTTGCACGCAGCTCTCGTTGAATTTATTGAATTTATTATTAAGGTAGTCGGAGATCAAAATTCCCGGCAATTTTAACATACCGTTTCTTTCAGATGTAGTTAAATTTTATGAAAGTAATGTACACTAATTTTGGGGAAACCTTTTCAAACCCACATTTTAGAAGAAAATAGTAGGCCCATTTGACTCTCGATTTGAAATAGTAAAAAATATGTGACTTTCCATTGGCATTGATGAATACAGTTGAAAAATCATATTTAGATTTGGTCATATTCTTTCCGCTTATAAATGCAATAAAATGCTCATTCAATTACTTTCTATTCATGCTTTCCAACAAGAAATAATTTTTCTGGCCTAGGTAAAATATTGACACAATAATTATCGTGGATACGCGCACGAATCGCCTTTGTGCGGTGCTAGGTTTCAACGAAGTTAAAAACATTCATATATATAAATATATATGAAATTTTTCATATAAATGTTTATTCTGATGGTGGCTTCTCTCAAGAAAATAAAATTAAAATTAAAATAATACTCGCATTTATATTTCATCAGATACAGGGATGAAGAAAGTACTTCCGTTAACACATTTTTTTAGCAAAGAAGACATTTTGCCTAAATATACAAATCAACTCTTAATTTCGGTTATTATCGACGTTGGTCTTCTGAATGCACAATGCTAAAGCTCTCCACAAGCCATTTTTGATAAACATTTTTCAGCTTTAGTAGATTGTGGGCTGAATTCACTATTCGAATTTTTATGATTAATAACCAATAAGCTGATAACTCGATAACTCTAGGGGGTGGGAACAAATAAGTGCTTGAATTTTAAATTATGTATTATCTTCCGACGATAAAAAAATAGATTTTGTTGCAAAGGCCATGATCAATGAGCCCCGAAAATATTGCTTGCTTCATTTACATCAATGATCACTAAAATATATTTGTGACTGGGTAAATTTGCCCTTATAAATTAGTCCCATTCATCTCGAGTATGATTGCGAGACATTGCGTTCGAAAATAATAAAAGTATGTTAATAAAATGCTGTAAAACTTTCGAACTATGATTAATCGTTAGTGTTGACTATTTTCCTCGTAGTTAGACGTGGACCGCAGCTGAAATTAGTTCCTGCATTTTCATTTGACTGTCTTATTTTCAGAATTCACTCAAGGAAATGTAAAAAGAATGAAGCCAAACTATGGATGTTTTCTGCTATGCACAGATGTTTGTTATCACATTCTCAGACTCTGGTTTACTCGGTGGTGGGTTTAGTGAAATAATATATTACGTATATTGAAAACTTCAATATTGTTATATAAGTTGTGATGTAATGTGAATGGTTTTATATGCATGATGCTAGTTGACTCGTGAAGATCTTGTTAGTACATTTCGTTTTGCATGTGGTTGAAATCATATGCCAAGCAAATAATTGAATGTCTCTCCAAATGAGGGAGATTTCTGATATCTGATACTATTTTAACTAAAACAAAACCGAACTCTTTCAATATTGAATAAAGCAATGCATTTGAATAATACATTTCAGAAACCTGTATTAACCGTTCATACTCACAATATCAGCCCGAGTTAGTATGGCATTTTAAAAATTTTAAGTCTCAAATTTTTTTCAGCCCGGAGGCAGCACCACAAACAATGCGTTCTAATGGTCTTTCAGCAAATATAAAAGGATTCTGTCGCATAAGTATTTGATTCTCAGCATCTATAATAAATAGAATTTTATAACGTTTTCTCGGAAATATTTGTGAATTTTATCGCATCCACACGACGTGATTACATACAAGCCATCGTTTCTGCCACTAAATCTGCGGACATTGCACCCAACATTTAAATACCTCGCTTTGTGTTTGATTGGACGAATTTAGAACTTCTATTTGACAATATTAAAAAAGTAGTGCGATCAGAAAAAAATTAAAGTTATCTTCATAAATTTGCATTTTCAAATAATTTAAATTCAGTATTTCTCAGTTATTGTTTATCCACTATGGGAATATCTCACGAGTACACAACTGTCATCTCTGCGTTTCCAAATATGAAAGAAATTCGAACGAAGTTAGAGCTTGCATGATGGGTTGCATTGGCTGTTAAATAATGAGCGATAGCAATTTTTTGCAGGAACATAAACCCTGGTCCAATGAAAATAGGAACTTAGCTATTTACTCCTCAAATTTTGGTTTTCTCAATAGACCAGCAGAAAACGTAAATTTAATGGTAGACTTTGATTTCTAAATTCCGTTTCATACCTAGATGAAGTTTCTTACCAATATCGGGCAAACAAGTTAGATATTACATGCGTTAGTGGTCAAATAACTTTGCCACGGTTAACTTACGTGAAATAAATTTGCTATACTTCTTTTATAACCGTTTATAAACTTATATATAACTCGTTCTGCATCAATATTTCTATAATCAGGATCATTATCAACTACACAAATTAATTTTGTTCGCACCATTTTTACGTTCTTAGTTATGATTTCATGCGATTTATACAGTCTCTAGAAACCAGATAAATGTATATTCTGGAAAAAGACGTTGGAGTGACTCGAAAATGACGCATATAACCTCACTTTCCATGCCAATGCGAGTGTTACATCGAAAAAATTGCCAGCAGAAATAATTCGTGTAGCAATGGAAACAGAATTAAACGTTTATAGTCAACATTAAAATTTCAGTCTTTTGAGACCAAACCTGAATGGTTTTTCAATACTGAACATTGATGCTTTCCTGTTCCATCTTCCATTAACCAAACGGTTCAAAGATCTCCTGTCTATAACGCCATGGAAAAGAACTGTGCATTTCCGCTGCGCTGAACCGGCTGCAAGTTCCTAATGCAAAAAGATGCTTTATATTATTATTTAAAATTTAGTCTTCCAGCTTTAAAATTTTTTGCCAATATTTCATGCGTACATTCATGAGGTGGCATTATTTGCTTTATCATCTGTGGTATGTAATTTGATTTGATTTTAATATTTTGCCAATTAAATGCACTAAAACTTATTATTCATGGTGCCTCCACCGAATAAGACTTCATTTACACTAAAAAAATATGACTCAGTACTCACTGCAGTGAATGACAGAGAGCACATTTTCTCGTCGACGAAAACGTGAAGTCACCGGACAGATGGACAGACAGACGGATGGACGGACGGACGGACAGACGGACAGACAGACGGACGGACAGACGGACGGACGGACGGACGTGATTAGCAAAATAAGGCATATTCTCCATAAATATGAAAATATGATAAAAAGAAAATTATTATGCCATATCAAATAAGCATGAACTGGAATTGCAGGTGCCAGGCCAGAGCCACTCAACGGCGTCGACCGTGCGTCCCAAACCGATCCTGGTAGACAAGCAGAGTTCGGAGCCTACGACGCCTACCGGCCGCAACCTCTGCAGGCCGATGATGAGGGGAAACTCGGACGTCTCTTATAAGATGAAGAAGAGGGTCACGCTCAGGTACTACGGGTATAATAATCGAAAATATATATTTTTTTGTATGTTATAGAAGATATTCATATGAAGAAGAGGGTCACGCTCAGGTACTACGGGTATAATAATCGAAAATATATATTTTTTGTATGTTATAGAAGATATTTATATGAAGAAGAGGGTCACGCTCAGGTACCATGGGTTTAATAATCGTAAAATATATGAATTTTTGTATGTTGTAGAGAATATTTATAGAATTTTTTTATAATTGGGGTTAAGACTTGTGGCGAAAAAAGCGCCCACCAGCCTGATCTCTGTCAGAATATATATAGAATTGCATAGATGATTGATAATTCCATAGAGCGCCATTACTGATCAATCGGAATGTAAATAAAGTCACACAGGGATACTCTTCTTCTTTGAAAAATTTAAGTATATCAGTCCTTGCTAAGTTTATTTTAATAGAAATAATATTAATATATTTATTATTTAATATATTCATTTTATTATAATTGAAGGAAATGATATAAACGAAATAAAGAAGTTCATTCTTTTCGCTCGATAGTTTTGCTTTGAAATAGCGATTATTAAGTGCGGTTTGTGAAAACTGGAATTTTAAGGTCTAAATACTTAATTACGAAGAAATCAGTTATTCCTAGGAAAATCAACCGAGGTGAAGAAAAGTAAGGGTACGCACATAGTGAAAGCAGGTTGCCAGCGTACTGGTTACCTGCTCAGGCTGGCGCCTGAAACCATAGAATACAGAAGCCTATTCGTACAGGTTTTCACTGTGAACACTTACATTATTATCCTATGTTCATTCTTGTGGCAGGTTGGAGCAGGTTGCCCGCGCGGGCAAACCTGCTTTCACTGTGTGCGTACCCTAATTCACCATAGGACTACTCATCGATGCCAATTTTCATTTTATCAAATTATTATTCTCATCCTATCATAACAATGGTTAATCTTTACTACAAAAAAAAACATATTTTGAGCTCATTTTTTCATTATAAAAATGCACCATTGTGCTCGCTATGTCTGTCCGTCTGTCTTTCTGTCTGTCTGTCTGTCCGTCCGTGACTTCACGTTTTCGTCAACGAAAAAACGCGCTCTCTGTCACTCACTGCAGTGAGTACCGAGTTATATTTTTTTCAGTTCCCTGCCTTCTCGCATCTCGATGGAAACGCGCGTCGAGTTAGATACTCTGCAAGTGCCTTCCACGTTGCTCGGAGTAGGTTAGTCATTATTGATTCGATATCTTGCGTAAGTACTGAACAAAATATTTAATAAAAATTACTTACATATATCACTTCAAAAAATGTGTGAGACATACTGTGCACAATTTCGACCGTAAATTTGAAGTTCATTTTAAAATTTTTCAGCTCAAAGATGTATCACTTATTAGCAATGCAACTGCGATTTTCATGAAAAATTACCGATAAATTGATGAACTTGAATTACTTACACTTATGTTTAATTGCCGTTTCAGGCAACGACGTCGAGAAAGATAACAGTTTACATCCCATCGGTGAGCATGAGAGCAGTCCAGACAGTCCACAGCGCAGTCCCCCCTCAGGGACCATCTCTTCGCCCAGCATCCCAACCATCTCAGCCACGGTGGAGGCGCCCCGTAGACCAGGAACTTTATTGTGTCCAACTAAACTCTACCTTGAACCCACACACTCAACTTTCGTTGAGCCAGTGACCATTAAAAGTCCAGTGTTGACAGTCGAGTGTCCGTTGGTAACTTTCGGTGATCCCTCAGTGACAGCATCAGCTGGTCATATCTCTGTGTCTGCTGAAGCCAAGTTACAAGTTGTAGAAGAAAATGAGAAAGAAATCAGCGAGATTGCTCGAGCAAATATTGATGAAAATGAACTGATTTGTGCTCCTTTCTCTTCCCCAAGACGAAAATCAGACAATGACTTAATTAGCGTAAAGGCATCGTCGGGGAAAACCAGATTTTCACTGGACTCTACATGTGATCGTAACAGTAAGGAATTAGCAGGCGCGACGCCTTGCTTGACACCCAACTACGTGTCAGGGATAGTCAGTAGCTGCAAGGCACTTCCATCCATATTGAAATCTAGTCAAGATAGTATTTCTAGTAGAAGTATTATTAAGGAACGTCGTCCCGGCTCTAGCCTTTCTATTTATTCTTCGGAATTGAAGAAGGACCAATTAGAAGAGCAGTCCCCTCAGCATGAAAGATTGCGATCAGCGTCATCGTCGCCATTACCCTCTATATCATCACCTAATAACCCAAATCATCATAAGCATCATCTTCATCATTATCCTCTACATGTTCAGCGATCAGCACAATTTAAATTAAGCAACTCTATTTCTTCTGAACTTAGAGGTAACAATCAAACAACTGGTATGACAGCCAGTGAACCAAGCGATCAAAATGTTACATCGTCGAGTAAACGAAATATTTTTTCTGATGGTAGAATTGAATCTCAGTCGTCAGACTCAACCTGCTCACTGGGTCCCACAACTGACTCAAACGTTTTTCTAAATTATAGTTCGTTTGACCTCAACAAGAAAAAAGATTCCCGCGATGGTGAATTTTCTATTGAAATGACATCAACTATTCCAAGAACTTCCTCTTCAACTTCCTACGATGACACCATCTCAGGAGTGTCAACTTCTGAACTTTCAGACGGGTACAATTTCGACACCACAGCATCATCGCCCAGATCATTAGCGACCAACTCAGTACCTGCTTCCATGGAGAGCTTGGTGGAGCGGCCTCCTCACTCTTGTATTGAAGTAAATGATAAAATCGGTGTGACGTCTTCTGCTGTTACAAGCGAGTCGTCTTCAACGGTAACATTTTCTTGACCAGCAATCCAGAAATCGTGTTTTCGTTTCTATTTTTGCAACCTCCAGACGGTTTCTTCAAAATTTCCCTTGGATTGCCTTCAGCTGTTTACCTGATTCATTTACACTTGAATTTATAAAACTGTGCGAGAATTACTTCTCACCTTTCTCTTCAACTTTGTTCTCAATAAAAATGAAACTCCGAAAATTCTGTGTTGGAACCGAAAGTAGTGTAAGGGATCTCGCACGTGAAAAACTCTAAATAGTAAACTCAGTATTTTTCTTATTTAAGATGTCTAATTTACTATTTCACCGTGTTGTTATTTTGCAAATGTTCACATTATTGCTATTATTTAATGATATATTTCTCAGTGCCTAGATTTCCGCTCCTTCTGTGTTCGCATCACAGGATTTTGAGTATTTTTTATTTCCATCTTGCCACGATATGCTGTTCCTCGAGCTTTTTATCGCTGACCGCTGCGCTTAGATTTCCATTTACAGGAAGCTTGCACTTTGCATAATTCTTACCTCTCCGAACATTATCCCGCCGCTCGTTTTCGCTGAGGTAGAAGCAAACTCCCAAAAAATGCTTGACGTGAATACATTAGAGGAAAGAAATACAGCTCGAAAACTCCGTGTATCATGCAACTTAGAATTACAAGTCAAAATTGATGCCCTGGTAACTTTTGGAAACGTGAAGTACAATAGATTCAAGTTGAAATGCGGATGATCTAGAATGCATTGAATGTATCAGCGAATGGCAAAATGAACATTTGAAGATTATGTTATGTACTTTTTTCATGGTTTCTTCTGCGTCTAACTAACAGTAAATCCAATGCGTAATATAGTTCTCAAATACTTATTGTATATTTATATTCCACGAATTTTCACATTTGCTCTCGTCACGAGATATAAATAGAGGAAAAACTCGCAAACCAGCAATCGACTTTCTGAAGTCTTTCTCGCCTTAGTATTACAGCATCTTTATGCTTAAGTAAAGAAGTACAGTGCAATTTAAAAGTTATTCAAGTTATCTTGACATAAAATAAGCAAATATTTATTTTACATTTATAGGTAAAATGATAGATTGAGAAAATAGTGTTAAGAAATCTCCACTACACATTTTTTTGAGCTCACATTATAAGAACTTTCATGGGTAAATTCGAACATATATCACATATTAATCACGGTGTTAAGTTTAAACATGCTTGAAGAAAAAACATCTGAAAAATTCTCATTATTCAAAGACACGCCTTCTTCAATTAAGTGACTTTACAAAATTCGCATGGAGCTGCAGTCAAGAGGAATTTCCGTTAATTGTTTCCTAGTTAAAACAGGATGCTCGTGTGTAGGATTTAGTTCTAAAGTCTCCGTAGAAATGAATGTATAAAAGATTCGACGAGCCGCTAACATTTGTGTCTAATTACTGATAAAAACGTTATACTTTATACTTAATTTCAATCCGTACTTTAAATGAATTTTCCCGGAATGATTGTATACACTTACTATTGTGCTATGGGTATAATTTTCTCATTTAATGCTACCCATTGAAATTTTTCATTAGAATATTTTTGATTTGTACTTATTTTCAAATCTCCATAGTTAACTGACAATTGTTTAATTTTTACCATTTGCGATTTAATGTAATTCAAGATGTAATCATTGTATATTATGTGTAAATTTCAATCTTTTATCAAAAGGAAATAAAATTCAGTTGATGTTTTCGGCACACAACGTACACATGGAATTTTGGTCTATTAACCGTGACAAAATTAAATTAAGATCGTAAAAATAAATTCAATATTAAAACTCTTTCCATGCAAATAATGAAATAATGTCTAAACAAACGATATAGGAATGTTAAACATTATTTGAAATTTATTCTCAATTTAGAACTAAAAATTTAATGTTTATAACTCCCAATTATCTTTCTGCAAGTACAAAGACAATATCGTGAATATAACTCGTAAGAATTCTGATGGACTGGATGAAATTAACTGCTGTCTTCTAGCGTGAAGATAAATTTCTGAGCTTCAGAAAATATGGTTTGAAAATGAAAATGATCGTTTGGGATACAAATTTTAGTGTTGACACCAAGCTAAAAAAATCTTACAAAATTTTTTTTAAACGTGTTATGTCGATTCATGTTGAGGCAAGGAGTCACCTAATTAAGTTGCTACTATTGTTTCTACTCCTATAATTTTTTTATATAAAATATGTAATTGTGTGGTTCAGTAATGACAGCGACACGAAAAACTTCAACCGAGAAACTTCCATTTTTTTCAAAATATCAAATCAGTGTTTCAAAAATTGTACAGATAGCTGATTCGGGGTAGTTTCGAAATTTGTTGATTGAAATGTTTTATATTTGATCTACAGATCAGAATTAAATTTTTAAAAGAATCATATCGAAAACAATCCGGGCAGGAAGTTTATGAAGACATTCGACCAAATCCAATTTGTATCGATATGGTAATGAACAATTTATTATCATCTAAGTCATGATTATTGCAATATCATCCGACCTGAGAAATTCGTTGTACGGTTCAATGTTAATGTAAATGTTATTCTGATGTTACAAATTCTATTATTAATGTAAACTGAAACCAGTAATATTATCGCCAACTGGTTTTGATATATCGTCTATGGAATTTATTAATCAAAACTTTATTAGTTCTTCATGTTATTTTTTATGACCTATCATAGCGCCTTGCTAAAACATGTTGTACATTAAAATTACTTCCGCGATGTATTATATACAAGGCCTATATACAGCGCAAAACTTTTGATGCTTCTATTAAATAATATAACTCTGTACTCACTGCAGTGAGTGACAGAGAGCGCATTTTCTCGTCGACGAAAACGTGAAGTCACGGACGGACATCACGGACGGACGGACTTGACGAGCACAATAGTGCATTTTTACCATAAATGATAAAATGCGTTAAAAAGCATCAAAAAAGCTTTTATTTCCTTCAAAGCTTTTCTTTTTTACAGTTAGATGCTTGCGGACAAGCCCCTGTACGCCGATTTTAATTTTCTTCGCAGTAAATTTCCTGCCTTGTTCATAATAAAGCCAGTCATACAGTTAGTAAAGGGATATTTATTATTACTTTAAGTGAGATCATATCGTGAAATATTTTACCTACTTAACTTCTTACCTTCTTACCTTCATTGATTTTTCTCTTGGGACAACCAGACCGGAGAACGAGGAGCGAAGATTGTTATTGGGCAAATATAGGGCAAATATAGTGCAGAAAAATCAAAAGATATACCATTTAGAAATTTGCCTTATACTAAAGCAGAGTATAAGGCAAAGAGATCTTATACTATATTTTATAAGATTTTTAAAGGATTACGTTAACTTTCCTCAACTTTCTTAACCATCAGGCATTAAAACTGACCCGCAGCTTCATTGGTTTATATTCGAAGAACGTTTTATTCTTGAGAATCAAATTGCAAAAAATGTTCATCCTAAAACATTCAAAAATTAAAGAATTTCACCAAAAACGTTAACGAAGACACCAAAAATGTTAATTTATTCCCAGGTATTTAAAATTTTTCTATTTAAAAAACGAATATTGTCTTTTTTCAAATAGATTCACAAACTAGATGATTTGCAGGGCGGTTTTTTACGGCGTTGCAATCTCTTAGAAAAACCTGCAGTGTTTGAAAATGTTTTTATAGATTTACTAGCTCATTGTTCAGGCAGTTATCGATTATTAAGGAAAATGTGGATCAATGATTGCAGTGGTTTGTATTTAATGGGTATAGTTCGTACACCAATTGCGGTGTTCAATCCAACTTTTGATTAGATTCTCAATTAATTTTCAGAATAATCAACTGAATTTCACCTTCACAATATAATTCAACTTCATTTTTTTAGAGAAAACGGATACTATTCAATCGTTAACCCGTATTAGCAACGTTTAATTATTACATTTAATGCACTGCATGCGCTGCATTCACAATTAACTTCACCTTAAAATCAGTCCTTGCTAGGCCTACATATTTGTGTGTGTCCCGATTCTTTGTTGCATTACTAATACTATTGTTTTTTCATTTCAATTCGACAGTTATGAACATAGTAAATTTTTCCATCGAGTTATTGCTAGCATTTTAAGTTCGCAATGCCAGTCAGAACAAAAAAGTTGTTCTGAGGAAGAGCATCTCTTTGTTCTCAAATGACGACGCTCCCTAAACAATCTAGTCTCTTGGTTATTGTTCGTTAATACTTTAATGCTCCAATGTTCAAGTTTTTAATGGTAATTTCCATCTTAATTTGCAGAAATTAGTTGTAATTTTTTTCTACTACTATAGGAAAGCGTAGCGTAGATAAATGAATTATATTCGTTCTGCGATAAGAGTAATATGATTAAATCATACCACGTTTCTGGGCAGGTACTTTCAAAACTTTGCTAAGTGCTCGTAGCGGCTTAAGTCCAGCGTAAGTCCGCTAAGTTCGCGTAACTCCAAATGATTGTACCTTCAAAACATTTCCGCACCGAGTTCCGTCCGCGAAAGTCGACTTAACTCTACGCTTGCTGGAAGCACCCGTAAGTCGGGTTAGAAGAACCTCCATGGCAGTAAATTTGCAGCAAAGCAATTTAAAATGAGTGATTTACATACTCTATGGTGAATTGTAAATACTTTTTATTGATTTCTTTCAAAGTAAAATGTTATGCTATCAATGAAACAATTTGATTTGTGTTTTTAGTGTTGACTCTTGACAGTTATTTGTTTTCTATAATGTGTGAGAAATTGGAAGTAATTGCCAAAATCCGCTGATCGTACGCTCGGCGTATCTTCTTGAGCTTAAGTTCAAGAAGTTACGTCCACTTGGCAATATTTGAAAGTACCTGCCCTGATGCTCATCACGCTTTAATATTTCGAACTCTTCACAAACTCGTATTATTTAATTCTACGGTTAGTATATCGAAGTCTATTACCAGTGGTAAGGAAATGATAAAATTAAGGACCTCGCACCAATTATGCCGATGAATTAATTCTATATAGGCCTATAGTAAAGAGTTCTTTGAACGAATGATGTTTGTTTGAAAAGAATATATATCTAAATAATAAAATAATAATGCCCTGCGTTTGTTGATTTTTTGAGGCTTTTGCAGTCACAAATGTTGAACCTCTCTAATAAAAAATAGTCTCAAATTTATTGTGTATTTCTGTCCTCGTTTCTCGGTAACAATTAATGCTGGTAATTTTCTTTCAACGTTGGCGAACGTTTCCCTTTGCTTACTGTCAAGCCTTTTATTCTGATAAAAAGTATTGTACAAAAATCAATAAAAAATCAGGAGTAAAAAAATTGTATTCAGTTTTACGAAGGTATTTATAAGGTGTCTGAAAAAAAATGCTAACCCAATCAATAATTATTCTTTTCCAGGACAGTTCAACGAATTTTATTAAAATAAGAAACACAATAATCTCCTTTTGGGGAGCGAATCTGCTTCACAAAATTGCATATAATTAAAGCCCTTACAAAACCGTGGAGTTATTAAGCAACCATGCCTCATAAAGCTGCTGGAACGCTTTCTTAATTCCTCAAGAAGCTTCTGTGGAAAATCTAAACGCTCGTCCACGTTCGCAATGTTTCCAGGATATTTCAGGAGTCCATAGAAGAACTGGAGCGTCACGAAATAGCCTCAAAGCTCTTAAATGTTAGAGAAAGTTTTAAAAATCTAAAATATTCACTACTCTCGCACGGCATAGCAGGAAGACTCCAGAATATGTCTGAATTTCATGTAATATTGTTCAACTCCATATAGCAAATTGCCTCTGGTACTTTGAAATGTTTTAACATCCAGAATCAACATATAATTTCAAATAAAATGTAGGATAATATTGAAAAATTATGAACTCGTACTTTACCTAAAGTGAAGCACGAGTATAACACAATTTACAAGAAAAAGTGTATTTAATCACCCATAAGAAAGACAAATACGTAAAATAAAATCGGTTACTTAAATTTTAGAAGGTCGATGACACTTGGGCGCATATGAAGTGCTACATGAAAAACATCTTTACGCTAATCAGCTATATATAATTTATCAGAGCAACTTCCGAAGTTTCAGGCAAGATACAGAGAATAGATCCTAATTAACTTCTTTTCTACCTATTCTTAGTAGTCAGTACAGTGAATATCAAGAAAATTATTGATTTAACAACAAATTTAACGGATTATATAGGATATATTTTAAAAAGAATTAATGTGTTTGATGATAACAAGAATCTTACAACATTTGGCAGCATACACGTTAACGAGACATAAAGTACAACAAATTCGTTTTGATAATCGCCAATTTGGTGATTAATGAACTTTCACGCGTCTATGCCGAGTACTGATTTGAGCTCTTCAGAAAAATATCTTTTTATATACAGATAAATAAATAATACGACGAAATATTATCACATTATCGGCCTTGTTTCACAAAAAACTAACATTTTTCATCACCAGCAGGTGTCGATGGGCCTCAATGGGTCAATAGTTGACAGAAAAATACAATTGAAGTCTCCGAGCTGCGTGTAAAAAACAGGCGAACAGATGCGATGTTACTTGGGAATTAAATTGTTGATAAAATATTTGAGGATCCTGGACGAGTTACGCAAAGAAATGAAATGATGAAGATCCTACAGATGAAGTGAATGAAGATCCTGCAGATAAAGTGAATGAAGATCCTACAGATGAAGTGACGAAGATCCTACAGATGAAGTGATGAAGATCCTGCAGATGAAGTGATGAAGATCCTACAGATGAAGTGATGAAGATCCTACAGATGAAGTGATGAAATATTTCACAGAAGTCAATGAAGATCCTACAGATGAAGTGATGAAGATCCTACAGATGAAGTGATGAAGATCCTACAGATGAAGTGATTAAGATCCTACACATGAAGTGATGAAGATCCTACATGTGAAGTGATGAAGATCCTACATGTGAAGTGATGAAGATCCTACACATGAAGTGATGAAGATCCTACACAGCTCCTCCCTCGACGTCCTACAACGTAACGCTTTGCTGAGGTCAGAGGTCAGGTGCTCGGTGATGGGCACTTAACAACATTGTTGGTTTTAAACCCATGAAAAACCCTTATATTATGGTTTAATAAACGTCAAATTGCAGGGGGACTTCGGAAGAGCAATGCATGACACCCCTCGACCCATGATGCAGATTTTAATGATTACGCTTTAATTGTACGGTTTTCTGAAAATCAGAACGTAATCTTTACTACAAGTTTTTATTGTTTTTCTCAATTCTACGAATTAGACTTTTTATAGGAATTGAAAGTTCATATATGATATTTCCAGGATGCATTTTATTATAGTATTGATACGATTTGAATACACATCAAACATTGAAATGCCGTGTGGATGTGCAATTGTCTCTGAACACCTCCTGTGTGGATGATTTGATAACTAATTTACTCTATACATGCGCTATACAATTATCTTACTTGGATCGCATCGCAGGACAAAGGTTTTCAACGGGAGTGATTAGAAAAATGTTTAAAAGCCGCTTTCCAGAGTAGAGTTAATAAACAAGGTTTTTTCTTTATGTTGACAACCGTCATTCAATTGTAAGTCAAGAATTAGAACCTGATGAATTACTGCTTAGAGCTTTCTTCCTTTTCGTAGAAAAGTCACAAACATAAAATTTTAGTAGGAGTATCAATTATCCTTAAATTAATTCTTATTCCTGAATTCTTAAATGTAACAACCATCCTGTCATCTTTTTTGCAATCACTTAATCATTGTAGGCAATAAAAGAAGTGCAATTTAAAAAAAACTGTTTATATTCAAAAAAATTTTGTCAAGTTAAATTTT